TATATATGTATGTGTATATATATGTATATATATATGTATATATGTATGTATATGTATATATGTGTGTATGTATATGTATGTATGTGTGTATATATATGTGTATATGTATATATATGTATATATATATGTATATATGTATGTATATGTATGTATGTGTGTATATATATGTATGTGTGTGTGTATATATATGTATGTGTGTGTGTATATATATGTATGTGTATATGTATATATGTGTGTATATATGTGTATATATATATATATATACAGTATATATATATATACACAGGTGGGTTCTCAACAGAAAATTTGAACATCAAACACTTCATTTCCTGCATTCTAGAGAGTATTTATACCCCAATTTATGACGGAAATGTTTAGATTTATGGTAAGTTTCCATCATTAGTAATAATAATGTTAAAAATAAACCTCCTTGGTCGATGATGTTTATTAATAACAAAACTGTTACTTTTCATGAGGAACTCAAGATAAAACAAATCAGCATAAATGAAATCAAACCTCTGACGTTGTGGAGAATGAAAGACAATAAAACGACATTAAGCAAACCGCCCTTCTCCTCGTCTGCAGGTGTGGAGACGTCACCGATCATCAGCTTCCTCCAGATGTTGTGACCTCACAGGAACAGGAAGTGAGGAACCAGGAAGTGAGGAATCAGCTGACCCTCCCTCGGTCAGCTGGTGATGTCACTGCTGAGTGTGTCGCCTCCAACATGATGGGAGAGTCTCGACAAGTCTTTAACCATCGTAGGTGTTTTATTATAAAAACCTTAAACGTGTTAACATCTTAACTTAAGAATTGTATCGTCTTAACTCTTATTAAATAATGTTTCTGTGTTTTTAGGAGTTTTAAAAGATCAAAGGTTCTTCACTCCAGCTCTGATTGGAGCTCTGAGTGCAGCTGTGCTCCTCCTACTGCTCCTATTGGTTGTCTCTTACAAGTGGAGACAGGTATGTTTATTATAATAATAATAACTAATAATAATACATAAAAGTATATACCATGGACCAACACCACAGCTGGAGATAGTTTGTAATCAAACCTTTATTCAAACAAAACACATGAAGAGAAACCACTGGTTTGATTGATTAACTGTTCATCAGACAATATTAAAACAATAACTTCTTACGTGAAATAAGTTTGACTTAAATAACAAAATGATTGTTTTGGCTCGACTAGATTTGACTGAAAATGTTTAATATCTATAAGTTTGATGTTTCAAGATGGCGCCACGTATGGCTGCCTCGGTGTGTTGGTGCTCATTGTTTTGTGTTGTTTTTGTTGTAAATACTGTTTTCTGCTGTGATACCCGGAGCTCTTTCACCAGAGATGAGCTCATAAACATCCACGGAACAACTCCAGCGGACTTACTTCCAACTTTTCTGTTAACTTCTGTGGAATTACTGGACCTTCTCGTCAAAGGTGCTCTCACCTTAACGCATGCAGTGAAACGGCGTCGGAGAGGGAAACAGGCCGGCGCGCTAGTGCGTCTCCGCTCATGTGGATTCCGCACACCGCTGTCGGGCATATTTCTCTCAAACGTCTGCTCACTGTGCAACAAACTGGACGAACTTCAGCTACTGGTGGGGAAAGACAGAGACTTTTCTTCATCCTTCGTTTTGTGCTTCACTGAGACCTGGCTCTGTGGCTCCATACCCGACTCTGTGCTCCAGCTGGCGGGCTTCCAGCTGTTCAGAGCGGACCACGACATGGAGCTCTCCAGTAAATCGAAGGGTGGAGGAATCTGTTTTTATACCAGCAGTGGCTGGTGCAACGATGTGACAGTGATTCTACAGCACTGTTCTCCTGATCTGGAATCCTTCACTATAAACTGTAAACCATTTTACTCCCCTCGTGAGTTCGCTTCATTCCGACTGGTCGGTGTTTACATGCCGCCACAGGGCAACGTGCAGGAGGGACAGCGGAGACTCGCTGAACAGATACGGTGTGTGGAGCGGACCAACCCGGACTCTCTAGTTATTGTCCTTGGTGACTTTAACAAAGGAAACCTCAGCCATGAACTCCCTAAATACAGAAAGTTTATTAAATGCTCAACCAGAGAGGAGAACATTCTAGATCACTGCTACACCACAATCAGCGGGGCCTATCACACCGTCCCTCATGCTGCACTGGGATTCTCTGACCACGTCATGGTCCATCTGATTCCTGCTTACAGGCAGAAATTAAAGCTCTGTAAACCTGTGGTGAGGAAATTCAAGAAGTGGACCAGTGAAGCTATGGAGGACCTTCGGGCGTGTTTGGACTGTACAGACTGGGATGTCTTCAGGACTGCTACCAACAGTCTGGATGAGTACACAGAGGCTGTGACTTCATATATCAGCTTCTGTGAGCACAGCTGTGTTCCATAAAGCACCAGGGTGAGTTACAACAACGACAAACCCTGGTTCACAGCAGAACTCAGAAAGCTTAGGCTGCAGAAAGATCAGGCTTTTAGGAGTGGGGACAAGGACTTGTACAAAGAGGCAAAGTACAGGTTTAGCAAGGCGGAGAGAGACGCTAAACGACGGTACTCTGAGAAACTGCAACACCAGCTCTCAGCCAATGACTCTGCTTCTGTCTGGAGAGGTCTCAGGCAGATCACCAATTACAAGCCTAAAACCCCCCACTCCATGAACGACCTCCACCTGGCAGACGAGCTGAATGAGTTCTACTGCAGATTCGAAAGACAATGAGACAGTCCTGACTCCATCCCCCACAGCTCCATCAACCAGCCCCAGACCACCAGCCCCCCCTCCCCCAGCTCAGCAGGGGCCCATGCCTCTGTCTCACCCATCCCAGCGCCCCATCCCCCACCCTCCTCCCCAGTGACGACTCTCTCTATTCTGGAGAGAGATGTAAATAGGCTCTTTAAAAAACAGAATCCCCGCAAAGCAGCCGGCCCAGACTTTGTCTCCCCCTCCACCCTGAAGCATTGTGCTGATCAGCTGTCTCCGGTGTTTACAGACATCTTCATTACCTCCCTGGAGACATGCCATGTACCAGCCTGCTTCAAGGCCTCCACCATCATCCCTGTCACCAAAAAACCAAGGATCACGGGACTCAATGACTACAGGCCCGTCGTGGTCATGAAGTCTTTTGAGCGCCTTGTCCTGTCCCACCTAAAAACCCTCACCGACCCACTCCTGGACCCCCTGCAGTTCGCCTACAGAGCCAACAGATCTGTAGATGACGCAGTCAACTTGGCCCTTCACTTCATCCTCCAGCATCTGGACTCCCCAGGAACCTACGCCAGGATCCTGTTTGTGGACTTCAGCTCTGCTTTCAACACCGTCATCCCATCTCTGCTGCATGACAAGCTCTCCCAGCTGCAGGTGCCCGACTCCACCTGCAAGTGGATCACAGACTTCCTGTCTGACAGGAAGCAGCACATGAAGCTGGGAAAGCACATCTCAGCCTCCAGGGCCATCAGCATCGGTTCCCCCCAAGGCTGCGTTCTTTCCCCTCTGCTCTTCTCCCTGTACACCAACAGCTGCACCTCCAATCACCAGTCTGTCAAGCTCCTGAAGTTCGCGGATGACACCACCCTCATTGGACTCATCTCTGGTGGGGATGAGTCCGCCTACAGGTGGGAGACTGACCATCTGGTGACCTGGTGCGGTCTGAACAACTTAGAGCTCAACGCTCTAAAGACAGTGGAGATGGTTGTGGATTTCAGGAAGAACGTAGCCCCACCAGCCCCTATCACTGTGTGTGACTCCCCCGTCGACGCGGTGGAGTCCTTCCGCTTCCTGGGCTCCATCATAACCCAGGACCTCAAGTGGGAGCTGAACATCAGCTCCATCACAAAGAAGGCCCAGCAGAGGATGTACTTCCTGAGGCAGCTGAAGAAATTCAACCTGCCAAAGACAATGATGGTGCATTTCTAGACAGCCATCATTGAGTCCATCCTCTGCTCCTCCATCACGGTCTGGTATGCTGCAGCCACTGCCAAGGACAAGGGCAGGCTGCAGCGCATCATTCGCTCTAATGAGAGGGTGATTGGCTGCAATCTGCCGTCCCTCCAGGACCTGTTTACTTCAAGGACCCTAAAGCGAGCAAGAAGGATTGTAGCCGACCCCTCTCACCCTGGACATGATCTGTTCGTGCCCCTTCCATCTGGTAGGAGGCTGTGGTCCATCAGAACCAAGACCTCATGCCACACAAAGTTTCTTCCCGTCCGCAGTCGGGCTCATTAACAAAGCCGGGTCCCCCACTGACTCTGTCATCCCCTGGACATTTCCTTCTGGTCTCTCCCCTGCACATCCCTGTTTCTTTATTTAAACACACTTCACTTGTTTTACAGTCCTGTTATCTGTTTTGTTGTGCACTTTATTTTATATTTTATTGGAAATTTTAATATGTTTCTATTTCTTGCACTGTGTTGATTGTTGTTGATTGTTTAATGTTATTGTTTATTGTTAAGTGTTACGCACCACCCGCCACGACAAATTCCTTGTAGGTGCGAACTTCCTTGGCAATAAACAGTTCTGATTGAATCTAAAATAGCTGAGAATAGACTAAAAGGATCAAAGATTAAAATTAAAAATAGAAACTACAACAAACAAGCATTTTCATATAAAGACTAAATCTAAATGAACACTGGCTGAGACTTTGTTTTACTTTTAGGGACTTTATTTCTCTTTACAACCAAAACAAAGCAGCATTCCTGCTAACTGTCTGTTAGCAGATGCTAACTGTTAGCATGTCTCTCTGCTTCTTCAAATGTGAAACACAACAACCAATACAGTGAATCAGAACGGCTCCTCTTTGTTCTCTGTGTTTAATAATAATATAAAGTCTCATAATATTATGATTTTTGCCATTTAGAAATTAAATTTAATATTTTCATACAAACACTGACGGAGAACTCTGACTCATCACTAAAATGTTTCTTCTTCTTTCAGAAACCCAAATATGAGATCCGCTGGAAGATCATTGAGAGCACCGACGGGAACAACTACACCTTTATTGACCCTCTTCAGCTTCCGTACAACCAGGAGTGGGAGTTTCCTCGAGACAAACTCCGCCTCGGTAACAAACGTTTAACATCTAACAAGTCAATTAGGCAGAAAATGAATCATCAAAATGTTTGATAATCAATCGATCGTTTGTCGTTCGAGTTAAGAGAGTTAAACTGATCTCAATCATAGGGTTTGTTTGCCCCCCTCTCTGTCTATCAGGTGCTGTTGTAGGTTCAGGAGCGTTTGGGAAGGTCGTCGAGGCGACGGCGTACGGTCTGGGAACCGACGACGCCACACGGGTCGCCGTCAAGATGCTAAAACGTGAGTCTACATCATCCTCATCACCATCATAATCATCATCGTCGTTGTTCTTGGGATTCACGTTTCTTATGTTTCTTGAACAGCGAGCGCTCACTCGGAGGAACGCAACGCTCTGATGTCGGAGCTCAAGATCCTCGGGCATCTTGGTTACCATGACAACATCGTCAACCTATTGGGAGCCTGCACTCGAGGAGGTGATGCAATGTGTATATACAGTATATATATATATATGTGTGTGTGTGTGTGTGTGTGTGTGTGTGTGTGTGTGTGTGTGTGTGTATATGTATGTATGTATGTATGTAT